TTCAGGTTTCAGCCCTGAGAACCCCGAGTGTTCTTTTATTTGTGCTAACGATGTTGTACAGCATTTGATACTTCTTGGGATCGTTACAGCGTTAACTCTCCCATCTTGGCCAACTGCAAATTGAATTCTCTCTAGCTCGGTTTCCCCTGTGGTCCTGTCTGGATGAAATAGCTGCACTGCTGAGCAAGGCCAGGGGCTGGCTGCATCCAGGCGTTCAAAATTGCTTTGGCAGTTTCAGCCCTCGTGGGCGTCTCTGAAGAAGATGGGGAAGGAGGCTCTCGGTGTGGAGTGTGGGACCAAAATGGGTGTAGCGGTGACAAGGTCTGCCAGCGCCCACGATGCCCCAGGCTCGCTCCTAACAAAGACGCTTCAAGACCGCAGCGCTGTCAGAGCAGGACCCTTCCCTTTTTCCTCATATTGTAACCACAGCCTGGAGGCTACAACCGCAGGCGTGCTGGTGTGAGCACACGGGGCAACCTCTGCTTCCACCTTGTCCCTAGGGTGGTTCAATTTTGGGTGCAGAAATGCCCCAGGGCTGAATGCAGGTGTCCATGCACCCAGGCAATGCCTTTGTCACTGGTTACAGCTGTGCTGGCCCTACAAATATTGAAAACTTTTCTGACCCTTGCCAGAACACCCAAAAGAGGTGAGAAGTGGCAAATGGCCTCCCTGAGGAGATGGGGTGGTGGAGGAAGTACCATGGCTCTGCTTTTCCTGAGGCCAGAAGATGTTGAGACCATATCTCCTTCCCATTGCAGTGATGGAGCTTTGATGCTCTGAAGTAGGCATCACCCTCCAACTCCTCGCCCGGCTATGCTTCAAACCATGACTGAGCCCCAGCCTTCCTTTCAGAGGGGCCCTCTGGAGAGAACACCAGCTCCTGGATTCTTTGCAAACAAGCCAAGTGGGTTTCAGGACTTATCTCTCTCCAAAACCCTTTGTAGGGTGGTGGGACTGGGATTTAAGGGACCTGTTTACTGCAGAGGCTCTGTGGGGAGCCTGGTGGCTCAGACCAGCAGCTCCAGCTGCCATGGCATGGCCAGACGACCGACAGCAACTTCTGCCCTTAAACATCTGTGTCCTCTGTAACATTTCTGGGCCAGTGGGGCAAACAGGTTGAAATGGCTCTGGTTCGAATTAGTCACGCAGGGAACAAAAACAGAGGCATCAAAATGTCCTTCGAAAACAGAGTTCCCACGCGAGATGAAAGGGAGACAGAATGGCTGTGAAATAGTTTGCACAAGCATAACTAATGACGTTTTCACCTTACAAATATGACCCAGGAACAAGTCATTATTTTTCAGGGTAGCGTCTGGTCTTCACATTTATTTAGGGCCGGGCAAACTGTCCATCAGTAGAAGAGCATGCTCCGGCAGAAGCAGGAGGGAGATCCATCTCGGATGTCCAACACAGACTCACCAGGAACCCCTCTCTGAACAGCAACGTCTCCATCCAGCCTGCCGGTGACAGACCCCAGCCTCCCCACTGGCCCTTGCCCAGCGAATGCCAGTCCTCGAAAGGAGCACGGAGCTTGAAGGAGGCGGGCGGCAGTGGTCGGTCTGTTGGGTTTACCTGGCCGAGTACAAATAGGGAAATAGGGCCTGGGAGGAGAGCAGAGGAAAGCCGAGATTCAGGCATCCGTGTCTAAAAAGTGATGAGGGACTCCTCGTTAGGGAAATAACAGAGCGGTCAGTCCAGGGTAGGGATGCAAATCTGGGACTGAAAGAGGACAAGTAGGAGAAATATTCACCACACTGACAGGGAAATTGGTCACTGCACGGAAAACAAACCTTCCCTGGAATCAATCAGATGTGGTCATGCCTGACTGGAGCCGATGTTTCCAATCTTTTATTTTTTTTTTTGTATTAGATTATCGCTGCTTTTCCTTCCCTGGACTTGCTCTGTGTTTTCTTTTAGTTGTGTGACTTTGGCCATTATACAAACTTAAAGTAACATTTTTTTTTTTTTTTTTTTGTCTTGTGCTCAGCAAATCATGCAACATGCTTCACTGGGACCAGAGGGCACCGAACTGATGAGACAGGCAAGAACGTGAAAATGCGGACAAGAGAAACCCCATCGTGTTCACTTCAAGCCCTGTCATCAGAGCCATTTTGCTAAAAAGTGACCCAGAAGTGCAGGTGAGGACCAAGCTGTCGTTTCCATATTTATAAAGGAAAAGCCTTTATAAAGCGGGTGCCAAGATCTTGAACCTATTAACTGTATTTCCATTGCCTTTCTGGGCCAGGTTGAAATTTCTGCCATTGAAAGTGTTTTTTATTTGGAGGTGGTGGGGGGAGAAGTCTCTTCCTTCATTTTTAACACTAAGCCAAAAATCCCCAAACTGCTCCTAGTCCCCTTCATTACCCAATCCTAAAAGAGTTACCTCTCTCTCCCCTGAAGTGACTATACATATTCTACGCATGCTAAAATGCCAAAATAATCAGGGGCCGATTTTTAAGTACTAAACCCCCAGTTTTACAGGTATACTATGTTCTACAGAAGGGAGAAAACCCCAAGTGTGACACTAAGAAAATGCTTCCGAGGAGCGAGCCAAAGACTGCAGCAGGCTGGAGCCCCTCGCACGTCCCCCTCGGTCATTTCTGCGCTGTAGCATCACTCAGTGCTTTAGTTTTCTGTCTCACTTCACTTTTTGTGTTCCCCACTATTTAAGTAAATCCTTACTAGCCCAATTCCTTCCACAAAAGTAAGCACAGTAACAGCGTTGGGGATCTAGCACATAGCGGTGGCGTTGCTGACTAGAAAAGGTTTATGTATAGTTCATGCACATGAACAGAGCAGCGCTCGTGTGGAGGGCAATCACTTTTGTCAGATGCACTGATACAGCTGGAAAAGTAAGTTTTTGGGCATACAGGTCCCTCTCAGATTTAATACGTCACTTAAAACTTCGGTGGCATTTGCTACCGAGATGTACTTCATGTACAAGGACGGGATGTCATCCAGAGAGACCTGGACAGGCTGGAGAGGTGGGCCTGTGTGAACCTCATGAGGTTCAACAAGGCCAAGTGCAAGGTCCTGCACCTGGGTCGGGGTAACCCCCAGTATCAGTACAGGCTGGGGGAAGAAAGGATTGAGAGCAGCCCTGCCGAGAGGGACTTGGGGGTGCTGGTGGATGAAAAGCTAGACATGAGCCGGCAATGTGTGCTGGCAGCCCA